TTACAGATAGATGCTATATACCAATTGACGTTTTAAGAATTGACATTGGTTCCTCTCCCCATTAGATTTTACTTTCCTAGAACAACTAATATTCATGCTATTAGGATTAAAGCTAACAATCGTTAAGCGCTTGCCATGTGACAGAAACCTCAGTAAGCCTTAGCTACAAGGTCTGGCTTACTCACCAGAGAGCCCTAGGAGTTGCACCATCACTGAGGGAAGTTCAGAGAGCTGTGAAAGTGGTGGTTCCCACAACTAAGGTGCCTGTCCTCAGGACTCTGTCTCAAATGACATATGCTGCATTCTGCACCTTATAATTTCAGCTCTTGGCACACACTACACTAGAGTTTCAAATACTAGGGCCTTTTATAAGAGACACTAGAAGCATAGCAACTGATTTGAAAATCAATGTATTTCTTGTGAATTTTAATCTGCTTTTCAGATAAAACATCTCAAGTTGGTTTTTCTTAGTCTGAGGGGAATGGAAAAGAACTGTTATTATACTATACAAAATAAACATCTTTCTCATGCATTAAAAACACTAAGCAAAACAAAAAGGTGCTCGTTTAAAATTTAAAATTATTAAAATTTCTCAAAACATAAAGCACTGCACCTCAATTGTGCCTATATAAGATAGTACATCGTCAAAATGTAAGAGTCTAAGAATGTAGCTTAATTTATGTTTGAAAACTTTTATTATGTAACTTTAAAAACTGTTACAGAACTAAGAAAAACACTAGGTGATTTTTTTTTATTTTTATAACAGTTAACACTAGATGATTTTAAAAATAAAATTTGCTCTTGTTTTTTTTTTTTTAAGATTTATTTACTTATGCATATATAGAACTAGGGTACAGCCATAGGTACAGAGACAGTGAGAGGATTCACCATAGTCACAGTGGGGAGCAGAACAGACAGACTGACGAAGTACACTGCTCAGAGGAGCAGCAAGTGAGACAGAAGAGGTCTGCTGCACCATATGGGTCACCTCCAGGACAGGGGATCAAACTCACACTGAAGCAGCTGTGGCTAGCTTGCAGTGCTACGCTTTAACCCACTGTTCCACCAGGAAGTGTCTGGGCTCATCTCTATAATCCACCAAAATTCAATACACTTAGCTGGGTCCTTTATATGTGTAGGAGAAACTAGTTCATATATCTGTCATTTCATATAAGTAGCTCATACTTCAGTACCTTACCTAACCAGAATGTACTGGACAATATTCATTTTTAATGAAAGGGTTGGTTTCCTGACTACAAGAAAATATAGCTCTAAGCACACTGAATATTAAATGTCCACATTCTTGAACTGTGACAATTCAAAGCTGAGGTAATTATAATTACTGAAATAATACCTGCAATATCAATTTCTAGTTTAATAGAAGGAACATTTGTGTATGCTAATGATTTGTGGGAGGTGATAATAAGAATGGTAAAAAATCCTTCAAAATACATAGTCATATAAAACCACTAAAAACTAGGACCCTTAGGGAAACTACCATAACAAAGTTGTCTTTTAAATATCATGTTAATGTTTTTAAACTGGAGCTCTGGTATTTGAAACTAATGTTCTACCTTATTGAAATAAAAACTCTTTAAGCAGGTGACACATGGTCAAAGTCTCAGCACAATCAAGCTATTGCCAGCCACCGCAGTGAGTTTGATCCCCGGCCAGGGAGCTGACCCACATGGCACAGCAGATCTCCCCTGTCTCCCGGCTGCTCCGCTCAGTAGTATATTTCAGTAGATCCACTTGTTCTGTTCCCCACTCTGTCTCTGGTAAATCCGCTCAACCCCCACACCTCTGGCTTATACCCCAGTTCTTGTATGCATAAACAAAAGAAATCTTAAAAAACTAAATCTTTAAGCATCTACAGATAACAGTTGTCTACTCTGAAAAACTAGAGTTGCAAGACATTCTTGAGTTAACTACCACCACAAATATAATGTCTTTCCCAACTGGAGGCTTTAATCCAGCCCCCACCACACCATAAACATTATCTAATGTGATCTGACAAGTGGAAAATTTTACAATACAGAAAAGTGATATTCAACAGCAAGGGTGCAGTAGAGTGTGGTTACGCGTGACGTGTGTGCTTAGGCATGAAGTGCATGGCAGATAAGCACAGGAAACCATCTTCTCTCCAATCCAAACTGTGCGAGTAGAACAGAGAGACAGTACACACAAAGCACAACGCGATAAGCCTGAAGATCCTGGACTTGACACTACAGTAAATTCACAAAGGAAGCTAGGACATCATCAGCTTGGAGGTTTGGTAAGAAGGTAAGCTTGGGAGAACATTCTTTATGATACCTTCGCCTGAAATGACCCTGGCTTGCTGCATCTCTCTAATCCCAAGGAACAAGAGTGGCCCGGTTGTGCGCGTCTCTCAGAGCCTTCCAAACTCCAGACACCTGTCTGTCGGCAGAGCAAGTCAGGAATTCAGAAGGCCCGTGCCCACTAAGGCTCCACGTTTCAGGACACCGCTACGAAGCAGTAGGCTGCAGGGGAGAGAGCACCAGACATGGAGCCACAGACTCCAAGACTCCTGGCTAGATGGACTGGAAGAAAGAGTCAGCATCGCTAAACCCCACTTCTGTCATTTCTAAACTGGTAAATATCATCCCATACTTGAAAAAATCTTGCCAATGTTTAAATTTTATAATCCTTGTACAGTTCAAGTGACATACTGAATACTCTCAGAATCTTTAAGGTTGTTTCCTAACAGTCAATCCACAGCTACCCATAACATGAATAACTACAGATTTTTGTTTTTTAAGCAACAAGGGCCTAAACCCCCAAAACGACGCAGCAGGTAAAGAAATGGAAAGAGGGACAAGAAAAATGAAGCACATCAATAGATAAGCTGGTCAATATATGAAAAACAGCAGGAAGGGATTTTTGGATTATGTGTCACTCTGCTATGCACTAACATTTGATTTCTTCCATTTAACATGAATAATTAAGACTATAAATTAAAAAAAAATAATAAATGTGGTTATTTCCACTACTATCCACCTCAAAAACTTAACTCCAGGTTAATAAATCTACATAGTTTTAGAACACTGTGTCTCACATGTTCCCCTAGCTGGTCTCATAGGCATCACCCGGAAACTTTAGAAGTGGAAATATTAGAAATGCAAATTTGGGAGCCTCCCCGATGGCACAAGAGGCTAAGTCACTGTACTAGGAAGCTGTCTGCAGCCACTGCAGCACAGGTTCGAGCTCAATCATCTGCCAGGGGCTGACCCACATGCACAGCAGACCTCTCCTGCCTTGCCCGTTGCTCCCCTCAGCAGTGCAGTACAGTATATCTGCCTGTTCTGCTCCCCTCTCTGTCCCTAGTGAATCCTCTCACTCCCCACAGCTCTGGCCTACACCTCAGCTCTTATATGCCTATGTAAATAAGTCTTTTAAAAATTACAAATTTGGGGATCCCAGCTGGGTCTTAGACCCAGCAATCTACGTTTACATTCATGTGATAATGACACAGAAAGTTACAGAAACCTACATTTTTCCTGAATCATTTTCAAAGACATAGCACCAGTGAACTTTATGAGAAAACCAACATTAGTGAATTGGAATCACACTGAAAAGTTAGTGAGTTAAAGTATCCTCCTGAATAAATAAATATACTTTAAGCCAACAGTTTTGATTCCAAGTAATTTCAAAATTAAACAGGCAATGATAAAGTATTTAAACAAGTGGTAGAGCAAGTTGCAGAAAGGGTAATAACCCACTCAACTCCACTATACGATAAATACTTTATTATTGTTCTAAATTATATTCACCTTTCTCCACTTTTGTCAATTTAGTTTTTCCACTTCTAGTGACCATAGTTTTGAATAAACTACATGCACCTTCTCATTGTCTATTTTAGTAGTCTCAAATCTGTTATTTATTTATCTAAAAGTGAGAAAAAAATCTGTCATCCCCAAATAAGTGAAAGTAAACAAAATAATTTGAATTTCTAACTCAAGGGCTCCCCCAAATTATGAAATGTCATACCCTCACTTTAAGAACATTAACATAAAGTAACTGTACAAAGTCATATAATTCCTGGCACAGCAGTACTTAGAATAAACATTTTCTGACTTCCAGTTAAATTAACTTTTATCCAATATTCTTTTTCTCTTGGTTTTCACAGAATAAGCAAAAAATCTGAGCAGATGAGAAAACCTCTAAAATATGAGTCAATGTAAGGAAGACCATCAGAGCAAGAACAAGAACTAGGTGTGCTTGAAATTAGGCTGCTTCTACTTCAACTTCTGTGTGTATGTGTGGGGGGGGGGGGGTGGGAGTGGGGCTTGGGGAGAACGAAAGGAGAATAAAACTGAAGAACCAAAATGTTTGTGTACTGGCATAGTCCTGTTTCATATTAAACTGAGGTTCTTATGTCTTAAGATTCAAAATCTGTGACTTTCTAAATGCAAAGGATGTCAAAATTTTAAAAACTCTTATAAATCACAATGTGAAATTCTCTGCAAGAGCGTTCTTAATCTGAAGTCCACAACTAAATTTTCTATGACCACATCCATAAAATATAATGCAATTATTCTGCTGTAGAAATGTGATTATACATCTGAACCTATAGAAGAAATAAGGTTTCCAAAGATAGTAACTCAAAAAACTAAAACACCTTTAAGTATATACAGAATTAGGAAAACCTAATAAACAAAAAGTCAAAATTTTACTCATATTAGCAAAAAAAACTCTATTTTAGCAGTATTTACCCAAACTGTCTATAAACTTCAAAAACCTAATGTAATTTAAATACAATTTTAGTTTTTAAATTTGATGCACAAGCCACTTTCAGGAGGGCTCTTCCATTCCCAGTGTAAATCAAATTAACTTTACTAATGTTATCCTTTGAATAGCTATAGTCAATTAGAAAAAAACATCCTTTTCTAGTCAGGCACTTTTATTCAGAAGGTATTGGTACTTGCCACAGTTTAAATTTCCTGCTCTATTAAAATTTTGTTCACATTTTCAAAACTCACATTTGCAAATGTTCCATACAGTTCAAAAAACTCCAAATGTGTGGAAACAGCATTTGCCAACTCAAATTTATACTGTTCTATCAAATTCTGATACTTGTAGACATCTCCACATTTTTTTTAATTTTTCATTTTCCTTTCCTCCAGATCTAGAAGAGAATTAAATAGAAATAGTCCCCAAAAAGTCAGAAAAGCATAACTCATCTGAATGTTTTAAGTTGATTCTATTATTCAAATTTCTTTTAAGAGTAACACCAGAGCATATTACTTGATTTATCTTGTTTTCATAACTAAATCACTTGCTAGAGTATTTTAATTTCAACAGAAGACAGAAGTTAAATCAGTAGTCAAAACCAGATTGACTCAGATAATTTTCAATGACACATTAATTCTACAAGGTGCTCTGTAAACCACAAAAACTCTGGATACAAAGATTTATCACCTCAAAAGGTGGCTTATAGCTTGTTGTAATGACAGGTCATTCTAAGTCACTCTCATGTCAACAATGAAGATATTTTTAAAAACCTATAAACTTGAGTCTTCAGATCTCCAAAGAACCATTTTCAGCAATTCCTCTTCAGCATTTTACCTCAGTGCTTTATAAATATGCATGACTGTAGAATTTGAAGTTTAAGTAATAATGATTCTTATACATAAAAGCCAGTAACACTGCTTCCATCTTACTCACAAGAAATTGGGTTCACATACTTACCCAAAATTACAGGATCAGAAAGCTATAGTCTGATTTTGATTCCACATCTTTTCTTTGGACCCCTCCTACAGAGGGTTTCCAGTGTAACTTGAACATTCTCTTTCCTCAAATACATGCCTGTATTCACAACCTGTATTTATTTTCATTCTTAAGATGTTACTTCATGCAAGAGCTTATAAAACCGGCATGTCACAGTTTGCATATAAAGAGGTATGAAAGAAAATGTTACAGAGATCAGACAGAAAATTGTTGGTGGCTAGCTGCAAACATTAGATAGCAAGTCTTTTAAAAAGCCTTTTAAGTTAAAACACTTATGAGCAGGAAAGAGCTTTAAGTAAAACTCAATTTCTTAACATTAAAGCAGAAGGAGGAGGAGTCAGGTTTTAATCAGTTAAGAGAGCCAGGTCTGGAGTCAAACGCCGGAATGACTCTCAGGGCCTGCACTCATTACTACCAGTAAGCAATCAATGAGTTGCCTGATGCAGCTGTTACTCTGAAAACAGAAAGTGCTATATCACTGCTTAAAAATGTAGGCTATTTTACCAAGGATGAAATATCTTTCTGAACTTTAAAGTGTATGTGATATAGTTTGTTCAAGCAGTAATAACTGCACTTTTCCTAATACACCTAAAAGTGAGTGCTTAACTTCAGTTTATTTCTGCCAATTAAACTTAGGGCTTATCCCTTTCTTTTTAGGGGACACACTGTAAGTCATTTTCCTTTTTCACATGAAATCTCTGTGACATATCAGCCAAACAAACTGATATCTGGGGAGCTCCCATTTCTATTTACAAAATAACTCATCAACATATACAAGCTATTTTCTCAATAACAGAGTAATACCTTACTATAAAGGTGTTGACTGCAGAGACAATAAGCAGCATTTGCATTCCAGCTCATCCTCCCTAATGACTGTAGTAGTTCATGGCTTTTATGTCAAATAGGACTTTGTTGTCAACTGAACCTTAAGTGGAGAAACCTAGGCATTCTATCTAGAGGCAAGAGAAGAGAATATAAAGGAAAACAAAAAGGGTCCGTTCAAAGGAGGAAGGGGTGACTTCAGTGTATTTTGAGCAATTGATAAATTTTGTCTCTCACAAGAACATCAGCGTTTCTCAGCACTCAGAAAATCCTTCTATGCTTCTGCCTAAAATTAAAACAAAAATCTGTAGCATTTATATGAACTATAGGATGGTCCTTAATAAATGGAACAATATAAAAATAAACTTTGTTAACTCATTTAGAAATAAAATTTGTTAAAAGCATGGAAATTCTTTTGTGTCCCAATCAAATTCAATAAATCTTAGCAATCAATCAGTCATCCTGCTAAAAGCTCTCTAACACTAAATTTAAGGGTCACTCAACTCTAATTCTAAAATTACTTTCACAAAGTCTCAATAAGAAAGGTGTTTTTTTTTTCAATTACTTACAGTTTTTACGCAAAATAATTTTAAATTTTTTTTTAATTCAGGAGCAAATTGTAATAAAGTATTAAATTCCTCATATAAATGAGTTCATAAAAGGCAAACTGATGGCAAGCTTCAGTGACTATCACATAAAATTCTTTTGGCTAATGTTTAAAGAGATATTACCTACTGGGGTCATTAAAATTAAATCTAAACATCATAAATAAGTACATTTCCATGTTATCCCCAACCTGAGAACTCAGGAATTTTTTAATGAGACACCTAAAACAATGAAAACACATAAGCTATGACAAATAAGTTTTCAGAAATTCCAAATTTTCTGAAAGCACATTATACTCTAAAAGCATATCTGAGTTAAAAAGTAGTTCTGTTTTATAATCTCTTTCTGTTAACAACTGAATCATCAATTTAACAACTACTAAATTAGAAAATCTTTCACCACTAAAAGTGAATTTCTTACCAATGTCAAAACTAATCATATTAAAATTCCTGAAAACCACTTAGAGAACTAATAAGCTGTGTTTCTCCAAAACTAGAAGGTAGTTCAACTGCAACTTCATCTGTTCAGAAGACTAAAAGCATGTGTTAATAGAAGTTAGTGGTTCTAAAAGACAAGAATTTATGTCTGGAGATATTAAGTGTCCAGACCATGAGGGCTGTGGTTGCTACCTGATTCTAAGATACTACCCTAGTACCTCCTAGGGAAAAAACTATGTACACTCCCTGAGAAGTAACTTGGAGGCACTGGGTCAAAGAACAGTGCCTTTCTACCTCTAACTGTCCTTTCCACCTGTCCCAAAGCAGAGCCCCAGAGTCCATGAAGCTGGGGTTCAGGGACCTGAGCAGAGTTCGAGTGCAGGACCCTAACTGACACAGTAACCCCAGATCAGTCTAAAGTCAAGTATCAATACTAAACAAGATTTCTGTACCTGTCACTGTCACTCAGGAAATTGATTTCAAGAATCAAAGTAAAGCAAATTTACAAAATACAAAATACTATAGTTTTAGGAACAGTAAGAACAAATCAAAAAAACTGGTAGACAAGTCCTGGAGTTACTAAAATGCCTTGGAAGAGAAGCTGAGGCCATACCACTCCAGGGGAGAGAGGGGGCAGGGAGGGAAGTTCAGAGGGGCTGGCAGAAGTCATGGAGACAACCTCCCAGACAGCCAAGGAAGCAGGCTCAGAAGCCAGCTACCTGGGATGAGAAAGGCATTCCTAGGAAAGTGGGCACCCTCATTCTAATTACTGTGGTCCCATACACCTTGTGCCTTGTTTTTCTTCTGTCCCCACCCCCCCGTGCTTTTATGCCAGGTCACTGATTTTTCCTACGCCATCATACAGATGGTATGTGGAGAGTGTTTAAATTCATCATTCATCACAGATGGAATAGGAGCAGGAAGAAGAGATCTGAAAGAACTGTGATCTTGTATTGGACACAGCAACAGCTGCCCTTAAGGTCTCTATCCTCTAGGCAAGGAGGAGGTTAGCTGGTTTTGGACTCAGGTGGGGTAGTGAAGAGTACCGCAAGATTCTATACTTTGAAAGACCACTTCTAACAAAAATTAAAGAAAAAATATTATATCAAGTTTTATCCAAAATTTGGGAAGCTGATCATCAGGATGAATTCCCTCCTTCTCACAAACATTTAGTTCATGTGAAGTAGCCAAGGGTACTGACCAACACTCGTGCCTCACAGTCTAGATAATTATTTTCAGTTCTCAAACAACTAAAATGATTGTGACTAAAATGATTCTGTTTTTAAAAAGTCAATTAATAGACATGCAAAGTTTGTTGAAGAGCAAGAAAAGTAAAAAACGATGTGTAGCTATATTCAAGCTATGAATGTATTTTGTTTTCTATGACATCAGAAGAACAGCAATTAACCCACACATAGAAGTTACAGACACTGTGCTGTAGGTGAAGAGCTCCATATTTTCATACCATTTTTGTAAGTAGTCCAGTGCCTCCAAACGAGCACCAATCTCAAAAGTGATTCCAGGACGATTTGGGGGCTTTTTGCTCATCTTGAGATCCTATTCTTCAGTAATGTCTTTTCACTACCTCAAGAGGAAAGAAAAGGTTAGATTCTAATGTATCACATACATAGAGATTTAAACAAAAATTTTAAAACATTACATGAGAGGTTAAATGCTAAATTTTAAATGAGAACCAATATCTTTAGGCAAAGTACTGTGCAACTTGTAGGCAATCTTGATAATGAATTATGAAGGAGTAAAAAAAGATTATATTTAAGAAAAAATGAATAGATGGAATATCACAACTTGCCAATGACACAAATGCTTTAAATTTTAATTTGAAAATACCCAAGAAAATTCTCTACAGTACAGCTAATGCTTTCTATCTTTGAAAAAAATCAAGACAGCTGATATTCTGGAATATGACTACTGAAATTCTCACGAGAACATATTAATCATGTTTTTTAACAAATATTTACTGAATGCCTCATAATATAAGACACTAGAAATGTCACTGAAGAGCGCACATTTATGCTCCGCTGCCAGGGAACAGTTTCAGAATCTCCTTGTGGCTTGCGTTTTCCACTATACTTATATACTTATACTTATGATCTCCCATCATGGTAGCAGCAATTCAATACTTTCAATTGAAAGTTGTCAAGAAATTTTTTTTCTTTATACTTTGAGCAACAATGACATATATTTTTTTCAATTCTGAAAAGTATTTGTACTATACTCACTCCAGACAGTGCCCGCGTTGATAATAAAGTGTTTGTAACATTAAACAAAAAATTGAGGAAGACTCCTATCCAGGTGAGGGAAATGTGAAGTATCTACTGCTCTGGCCACACTGGCCATCAGGGATACTTGTGGTAGCCCTTTTTCCACTAACTAGCACTTATGGTCCGATCACAGCATACAGGCAATAAAGGGATGCAATCCTCTACTTACTGGTAAAAGGAGGGATCCCTAAAACCTTTTCGATAATTCAAATGACTAATATGACTATATTCCCTCCCAGTTGTTAAAAAAGAAAACACACAACTGTCATCTTTTAATGGCCTGATCACAATTCAAAACACAAAAGCAAACACAAAATACTAACTGTCCTTCTTCCTCTTTGAAAGAACCTGATGAGGAAAAAAAAAAAAAAGAGCACCAGTACTTGTTCTGAAAATTTGTAAAATCAAAAGTAAACATTCATGGTGGGCTGGGAGTGGGAGTAAATATCTTCCTGCGTTGGCAGCAGTGAAATTAGTGTGTTAAGATTAACAGGAAGGTCTGTCAGGGTAGATTTGGTGTAAAAAGAACAGAAGTGTGATTAGTTTTAATAGTGGCCTGGTCCGCGTGGGACATTATTTCCATATTTGTGTAGAAATCCCAACCTTTTTGTGCTGTTCCTCGCAAAAAATAACTTCCTAAGCAGGGAGTTCAAATGTGGCACCAACATTTCCTAGAAGTAAACTTAGAACCCCTAAGTGATGACAGCATTAAGACGCACAACCAGCCTGTGACACTTCCAAAGGAAGGACCAGGAAAGGCAAGATTTCCTTTCTCTGGAGTGGAAAGGGCAAGATGAAGAGGGATTTCGGTTAAGGAAAAGTACGGCAAAGCAAGCAGTCCCTTGGAGGGGGGAAGCGTGAAACAACCAGGGGAGAGAGCACAGTGAGGAGTCTAAACAGTGCGGAAGGAAAGCGGGAAAAGAACGGCAAAACAACAAACACGTAAGGACTCAGAGTGGTGGAGGTGACAAGTTCGAGAGAAGAGAACTAGAGCAAGAAGCTAAGCCACCAAGTAAGTGACGCTGCGGTCAGAGGATGGCCACGGGGCCAGAAAAAGGTGGGAGGTGACGTGGGGCTGCTGGGGGGAGGCGAGAGGCAGACCGGAAAAGCTCCGATCTAAGGCACAGGGAGCGTGAGAAGCCTCCAGGTTTGACAGCCGTCCGGCCTCCGCAGGG